AAAAAAAAAAAAAAAAATTAAAAACTAAATAAATAAAATTAGGGTTTCAGAAAGCCAAACAGAAGTATTAGAATAAAGTGATCGCCCGGAGTCTAAGAAATAGTTATGGTCCTCGAAAACATAAATCCTCTCTAGTCTCTGATTTAATGATTATTTAACTGTCACTTTCCTACAGGAATCAAAGCCTAACATTTGGAATTTAGGCCTCAGTACAGGTAACTCTGTTAACAAAAGCAAATTCTTGGTTCGTAGACAATATCTACTTTTTCTGTGTGTGGAAACAGTTTCCTTCTGCCACCCAGGCTGAAGTGCATGGTGTGATCTCGGCTCACTGCAACCTACACCTCCCAGATTCAAGCAATTCTCCTGCCTCAGCCTCCCGAGCAGCTGGGATTACAGGAGTGCACCACCACACCCAGCTAATTTTGTATTTTTAGTAGAGATGAGGTTTCACCATATTGACCAGACTAATCTCTAACTCTTGACCTCCTGGTGATCCGCCCACCTTACCCTCCCAAAGTGCAGGGATTACAGGTGTGAGCCACCGCTCCTGGCCAATATGTACTATTAAACCAAACTTTTCCCCCAAAATCCCAAAGATTAGAGAAGAGGGAAAATTATGCTACTTAAATTTTATCTAGAGTAGGATATCATTTAGATACCATATATTATTTCAGATCATATTTTCCACAAGAAAAAATGTCACATGGACTAATATTACAATAGTAATGCAGAGTCATGAAAAGCTATGCAATTTTGGGAGTATAATACTGGGAATACACAAGAGATCAGCATCTGAGATGCTTGGGGGCTACACAATAGAGGGACAACATAAGACCTAAGAATTTCTAACCAGAAGGATGTGCCACATATAGTAAGATGAAACCACAAGGATGAGTGTGGTTCATCAGAGTCAACAGTCTGAATCTATACTAGCATCACAAAAGTATACAAGAATATGTATGCCGGGCAGGCATAGTGGCTCATGCCTGTAATCCCAGAACTTTGGGAGGCCAAGGCAGGTGGATCATTTGAGGTCAGGAGTTCGAGACCAGCCTGGCCAACAAGGCAAAACCCTGTCTCTACTAAAAATATAAACAAATGAGCAGGATGCAGTGGCACTCGCCTATAATTCCAGCTACTCAAGAGGCCAAGGCACGAGACTCGCTTGAACCCGGGAGGCAGAGGTTGCAGAGAGCCAAGATCGCAGCAGCCTGGGCAACAGGGCCAGGCTCCGTATCAAAAATAAAAAAATAAAATAAGAATAAAGAATATGTATGCCATAGTAAGGCAGAGAGTACACTATGAAATGGAAATATGTATATGTAAACCAAACAATACAGGATACGTGTTTTGAAGGCTTTAATAAGGTTTAATACAGTTATCTCCTTAAATAGGTGGACACCAGCAGTACCAAGGACAACACAACTATTTTTTGTTGAAGTAAGTGGTGTAACAGTACAATAGAGTAAATCTAAATACACAGTAATGGAATAATCCACACGTCAAGGTATGGGAGAAAAAGCCAAGAAGTTTAACGTGGGTGTTATCATTATATACCGAGGTAGCAAAATACATGGCAACATAATTTAGTAAACACTATTTAAGTTTATAGAATGGGTGATAATGAGTATTCTGCAGATACTAAATCCAGGACAGAGGGATACTGAAATAAAAAGGTAGGCAAATGTAAGATCAACTTGGTCAAGATGGCATTAACCAGGAAGTGAAGAATCCAAGGCAGAAAAATAGTCTAGAGTATAACATATTGTGATCCTACAACTGCCTTCACAACTTTTAGCAACTTTCTTACTTATTTCAGTGTTTCATTCGGCCAAGTGGGCAAAACACTTTGCACCTCCCTGCCCCAAAAAGAAATTTATATAGGTAAAATACGGGCAAACGCATTCGCGCTCCACTTATAAAAACTACAAAGTACTAAAAGCATGGAGCACTCGGCTGGTGGCGGTAGGACGAGGAAGCGGACGGGTGGGAGAGAACAGGTAACAGGATGAGGCTTGAGCCAAAATAAGTATCGGCAGAGTGGAGCGAGGGACTCGAACGGCAGAGCGGTAAAAGAGAAACAGCACCCGGTCCCCACCACCTGGCAGGGGCAAGGAGATCACCCGTTGGGGCAGGGCTGACGACCGCTGAAACCGAGAAGAAGGAATCCACGGCGGCCAGGCCCACCGAGGTTGAGGGAGCGGGCTGCAGAGACCGCAGAACCCGGGGGCGCAGGGCCGGGGGCGGAAGGGGCGGCGGCTGGGCGCCAAATCGCCGAGGACCTTGGTCTGGAGCTGAGTGGCCGGCTACAACCCATTCCGAACCCTGGCGGTCGTGGATACTCGGCCTCTACTAGTCGTCCGTTTCCGGGGCCCACGGGTCCCGCCGCAGTTGAAAGACTCAGCCCGGAGGAGAAACGGGGCCTTAACCCCCTCCCAGTCGTCGGTCCCCCTTCCCTAGAGGTCACCCTCCCCTCCCACCTCACTGGTCCAGCACTTCCGGTTCCGCAGGGACCGGCGTCCTCGGCACTCACCCCAGAGCTCGGTGCCCGTCACCACAGCCGTCGTTGTCACCGCCGCCTCCCTGCAGTGCCGTCCGGCCTCTGAGAAGCAGCGCGCGGCCCCCGCACGCTCCACGCCCGCTCCGCTGCCGCGCGCCCCCGGCAGGCGACGCTCGTCTTGGAGCCGGAGCGCGGCCGTTGCCCTCAGTGTCGGGTCTCGAACCCTTCCAGCATTCCCATTGGCTCCCTGGTCCGGGCTCGCGCGACGTCTCGCGCGGCGCACGTTTCTCTCATTCATGCGGCTCGCGCCGCCGCGCCCACCCCCGCTCACTCTCCCATTCACCCATAGCCCCCACCCGCAAGCCGATCTCGGGCGTGCGCGCGAACCCCCGCGACCGCGGCGACCTCGCGGTCTGATTGGCTGCAGCAACACAGCGTGGTACGCACGCGAGAAGACCAGAGCGCGCACGTAAGGCCGTGGTGTTGCGAAGACGACGAGGAGAGGAGGATTGGCCTACTGCGCAGGAGTCAGGAATGAGGAAATGGCCAGGCGAGTCTTCCCTTCTCCTGTGTCCTGGTGTATTCCTTCTGATTCAAGCAAAAACCCTCGGAAATAAGAAAAGAATTATGTGTATGTACTGGAAGTACTTAAAAGCAAGCAGGTACCCTCTCGAATTCAGCAACCCCTTTCGCCATGAGGTGGTACAGTCCAGACAGGCTTCCAGCGCAGCCAATTACCGACGAATCTCACCGCTTCCTGCTTCAGCCCCTTCGCGGATTGGCCAATCGTTTGGTGACTAGGCCTCCTTTCCTACTTCCTTTTTTTTTTTTTTTTTTTTTTTTAATGGCGAAAACTTTATTTAAGCAATTTTGCTGGAGAAATGTTCAGTCTATTGAGTCCCGCTGGTCCCGGCAGAATACTGGGTGATGGAATGGTCTGGGCTGTGGCTCCCACAGAAGGAGACGCCTGGACTTGAAGAGCCAGTGTGGGGCGAGACTCCTGCCAAGTGCCGGGGAGGGACACAAAGAAGAGCCGTAGCTCTAACCGTGAGAGGGAAGCCTTAGGAACGCGCGACCTGAGGCGGTGGCGACCCCTCCACCCCCGGAGTGCGAGCTGAGAAGAGCTGGGAAGTGGATTCCCTTCATTCCATTAGTTTCCCACTCCCACACTTGGGATGGGCGCCCGCATCCCTCACCTCGCCCAATCCGAGAATACAAAGTTAAAAGTAAAAGGTTCTCTAGAATAGCTCCTGTCCCCAGCGAGCTAACTCTGCGTAGGTCACTGTGCTACACTTTGCCCTAATTAGCCCAAGACGGCTGTGAACGCAATAGCAATGCCACGTGTTCTCTCCCTGTTCAGCTCGAGGCCATTTCTTTTTTGGAAAGTAACTCTGGCTATTACATAATGGCCCCTCAAAAAGGTGTTTCAGGAGCCACTTCCCTGAATCCGAAGCCCTTCACCTGTAAAATCCTGAGGCTTGTCCTCGGATCTGGTCTTAAATGTTGCTGGCTTTACTGTGGTTCTCGTACTTTAACATTAGACAGCAAGGTAAAGGAGAACTGCCTTCGCCTGTTTCTGGAGTCTAGTCTAGTTTCTTCTCTGACATGGCTATTATCAGTTCTAGTTTATTCTTGTTAACGGCATCAATCCAGCATTTATTGCAACACACTTGAGAGTTCTTTATAACGACTTTGTACTTTTTTTTTTTTTTTTAAAGAGACGGGGTCTCGCTATGTTGCCCAGGCTGGAGTGCAGTGGCAATTCACACGCGTGATCCCACTACTGATCAGCACGGGAGTTTTGACCTGCCCCGTTTCCGCCCTCCTTAGGCAACCTGGTGGTCCCCCGCTCCCGGGAGGTCACCATATTGATGCCGAACTTAATGCAGCCACCCGATCGGCATAGCACACTGCAGCCCAGAACTCTTGGGCTCAAGCGATCCTCCCACCTCAGCCTCCCTAGTAGCTGGGGCTACAGGCACGCGCCACCGCGCCCGGCACGACTTTGTATTTTTAAAACTCTTTAGATTTGGCCAGGCGCGGTGGCTCACGACTGTAATCCTAGCACTTTGGGAGACCGAGGTGAGCAGATCACCAGGTTGGGAGTTCGAGACCAGCTTGGCCGACATGGCGAAAACCCATCTCTACTAAAAATACAAAATTTAGCAGGGCGTGATGGCGGGCGCCTGTAATTGTAGCTACTTGGGAGGCTAAGGTGGGAGAATCGCTTGAACCCAGGAGGCAGAGGTTGCAGTGAGCCGAAATTGTGCCACTGCACTCTGACCTGGGCAGCAGAAAAAGAGTCCGTCAAAAAAAGACGAAACACCTCTTTAGACCATATGAAAGGTAAATGTAAGGCATTATTGACGATACAATATTAGGATTTTATTTTTTGAGAGAGAGTCTTGCTCTGTCACCCATGCTGGAGTACAGCAGCCGGATATCAGCTCAGGCAACCTCCTTCTCACAGGTTCAAGCGATTCTCACGCCTCAGCCTCCCAAGTAGTTGAGATCACAGGGGTGCACCATTGCACCTGGCTAATTTTTGTATTTTTAGTAGAGCTGGGGTTTCGCCATGTTGGCCAGAGTGGTCTGGAACTCCTGACCTCAAATGATCCTCCTGCCTCAACCTCCCAAAGTGCTGGGATTACAGGCATGAGCCACAGTGCCCAGCCTGATGTTGGTATTTTCTATCTGTAAATCATGTTTCTTTAAGATGAAGTCAGATTTCATTTTTCTGTTGCATATTTTTCTTTGATTTTAGGACTTCCTGATTTCCTCCACTTCACAAATTAGGCATTTTTATTTTCCTTTCAGCTGTCTAATAACTTGTAAACAGTGGTGTCTCTTGGCTAAACAGTGCTAAATGGGGGGAAAAAAATCAGTCTTCCACCATCCAACCAGACTATCCTCTCCTGGGATACTAGCTTGATTGCCAAGCTCTTTCTTAGGTGGACGAACACTGACAGAGCTATAATCACTATCCCAAAGTTGAGAGAGAAAGATTCCACTGGTCCAATTTTCCTTGGGATCACTCAAAGTATTTCTTGGAAAGAACGTTTAATAGAACATAAGGTTTAAAGTGCCAGCTATTTCTGAAAAGTATCCAGAGTAAAATCTAGGCTAAAACGGTGGGATAGCCAGACCACCCAAAGTTCAAATTACTTTAATATGTTTATTGATTAATACCTTAGAGGTTTTTTGTTTTGTTTTTGTTGGTGGTTTGGTTTTGTTTCGTGTTGGTGACAGAGTCTCCCTGTGTCATCCAGGCTGGAGTGCAGTGGTGTGATCTTGGCTCACTGCAACCTGGGCTCAAGTGACTCTCCTTCCTCAGCCTCCCGAGTAGCTGGGATTACAGGCATGCATCACCACACACAGCTAATTTTTGTATTTTTAGTAGGGACAGGGTTTCGTCATGTTGGCCAGGCTGGTCTCGAACTCCTGACCTCAGATGATCCACCTGCTTTGGTCTCCCAAAGTGCTAGGATTACCAGCATAAGCCACCACACCTGGCCTGTTTTGTTTTTCTTTTTTGAGACAGAGTCTGGCTCTGTCATCCAGGCTGGAGTGCAGTGGATCTATCTCAGCTGACTGCAACCTCCCACTTCCATTCTCAAGCAATCCTCTGGCCATTATGTAATAGCCAGAGTTACTTTCCAAAAAAGAAATGGCCTCCACCTCAGCTTCGTGAGTAGCTGGGACTACAGGTGTGTGCCACTGTGGTTTGCTAATTTTTTAAGATTTTTGTTTAGACGAGGTCTCACTATATATTGCCCAGGCTGGTTTCGAACTGCTAGGTTAAAGCAATCCTCCTACCTCAGTCTTCCAAACTGCTAGGATTACAGGCATGAGCCACTGCACCTGGCCCTGTATAGTTCTTCTAGTGTAGCTTATCTACACTTCTTCAAATTGTCTTCACTTGCACTTTCTCACGCCTATAGATGGCAAACTACTGTGTCATTTTTAGTTCAACTCACTAGTAAATAAACATGCAAACAAGAACAAAATGCTGCCTGGGGTTTGTTTAGAAGCAATCAGAGAGGAATGTCCTGCCTTTCAGCAACAAACAAACCAACAACCTTTTTATGTATGTTTGTTTTTGTTGAGACAGGGTTTCATTCTTGTCACCTAGGCTGGAGTGCGGTCGCACAACCTAGGATCACTGCAACCTCTGCCTCCTGGGTTCAAGCAATTCTCCTGCCTCAGCCTCTGGAGTAGCTGGGATTAAAGGTGCCAGCCACCACGCCTGGCTAATTTTTGTATTTTTAGCAGAGATGGGGTTTTACCATGTTGGCCATGCTGGTCTTGAACTCCTGACTTCAAGTGATCTGCCCCTCTCGGCCTCCAAAAGTGCTGGGATTATAGGCATGAGCCACCCCACTCGGTCTTTTTTTTTTTTTTTTCAGATGGAGGCTTGCTCTGTTGCCCAGCCTGGATATGCAGTGGTGCGATCGCAGCTCACTGGAGCCTCCACCTCCCAGGTTCAAGCAATTCTCGTGCCTCAGCCTCCCGAGTAGCTGGAACCACAGGTGCACGCCACCACACCCAGCTAATTTTCGTATTTTTAGTAGAGACAGATTTCACCATGTTGGTCAGGCTGGTCTTGAACTCCTGATCTCAAGTGATCCACCCACCTCAGCCTCCCAAAATTCTGGGATCACAGACATGAGCCACCACGCCCAGCTGAGATCCCCATCTCTTAGAAAAAACAAAATCCTTTTTTTTTTTTTTGAGACACAGTGTCGTTCTGTCGCCCAGGATGGAGTATACTGATGCAATCTTAGCTTACTGCAATCTCCATCTCTTGGGTTCAAGGGACTCTTGGCCTCCCGAGTGGCTGGGGTTACAGGCGTGGCCACCACGCACTGCGCCTGGGCCAAAAATTCCATTCTTCACCCTGATTTACAAAAGCCCTACATTATCCAGTCCTTGCTGCCCCCTCCAGCCTCTGTTTTACGGTCTCCCCTAGTTCACTATTCTTCAACCACACTGGATTTTCTCTTCACCAAACTCATCAAGGTTGTTCCTTTATTAGGGTTTTGCAGGGGTTTTTTCACCAGGAAGGTTTTGCCCCAGCAAAACCTTCACACAGCCATTTAAGTCTTAGCCCAAAATGTGTGCCCAGGAAGGGCGTTTCCTAACCACTCAATCTAAAGTAGCCTCCATTCACTCTGTCTCATATCCCCCAAATTGATGCCTCTGTATAGCACTTGCCTTTTTAAATTTATTCTATAACGTAAGCTCCATAAAACTTCTTTCCTGACAAACAGTAGATCCTCAGCAAATATTTATGGAAAGAAGGAATGGATGGATAGCATCAGATACTTATTAAGTAATCCAAGTCCGAACCAGGGACACCAAACAGTCATTTGCAAGAGAT